CAATTTTTTTACTTATTAGTGTCTTTTCACTGTAGTTCAGCTGGAGTAATAGGTACTGTTGTTTCTTCTTTGCGTAATGTTCGGTTGCTGCACACTGTAATGAGTGAAGTGTTCCCCGCTCTTGTTTGCTTTTGTTTTCGCCCACACGTGTTGCCGGCCCTGCGGCTGTGGAGTCCCACGGACAGCACGAAATGAGGATTGGAGGAGCAGGCCGGATGCCGCATGAAATGTGAGGGATGTTGTGTGGGCTGGTGGAACAGTGCAATCTTTTTTAATTATTTTAATTTCGCTTTTCCTTTTGTTGGTGCGGGCAATATGTATATTCACGAGCACACGGTTGGTCGTCTTGTGATGCTCGGTCCATGAAATAAAAGTCCCGCCAAATCAATTTTTATTTTATTTTTTTCTTTTAATTTTGGGAGTTATCCCGGACTCTCATCTTTTTTTTTTTTTTTTTTAATCCCTGCGGCTTGTTTCTGTAGTTACCGCATCTGCTGTCACTGTGTGTCTCTGTGTCCCTTTGAGTGTCCCTCTGCTGACTGTGCTGTTGACATGCCCTTCATTTATTCTTTCTTCTTTCCTGCTAGAGGCACCGATGGTCCGCGACGACGATTGTTTGTGCTCCCCATTGCGATGGCACGAGGGTGACTGGGCGCCGGCCTGCTGAGTGAACTCGGAGGGGAGCGGATGGTGTGCGCCGTGCCTCACTGTGAGTGTGGGACGACAGTCCGCCGGGGAAGGGAGAAGTAAAGCGCAGCGCTGTGGAGTTGGATGCGTCCCGTTCGTTGCCGCCGTGTGTGTGCTGTGCGCATGGCACTTTACTACGGTGCGACGTGGATGGCGTTACTATTGCATTTGCCCTCTTGTATGTGTTGTGCGGCGGGCTTCTCTTCCCCATGACACCGTCCTTCTGCGCGGGTGGGTGGAGGGAGTGGAGATGTATGAGGGTGGCAGTTGTTTTTGCACATTGAGGTCCTCCACAAAGGTGGCACCTCACGGCAGGCTCTTGCAGCACCGAGGCCGTGGATTGAGAGGATGGGAGGGTCTGCTCCAACCACAAGGACAACGAGATGCAGTGCATGACGGTGAGGCTGATCCGCGTGTGGTTGCAGCGCATGCGGCACGTGCGCCAGTACTTGTTGAGCGCTGTGCTCATGATTGGGGAGGAGAGGCGGCACGACGTTGTGGCGCTGTGTGTGTTGTGTGTGGCCGGGGCATGCCGGCGATTGTGAGGACGTGGCGGACACGGAGCTGCTGGACTGAGGGAGGAGGTGGCGTACGTTGCGGCGCAGCGGGAGTGCATGACGGACTGCGTGTGCTGGGAGGGCCCGACGATTCCGAGGCCTGTGCTGGAGGGGCGCGTGTTGAAGTGAGCGTGGCGTGCCTGTGAGGGCCTGAGTAGAGAGAATAACAGTAATAGTGACTGTGGGGGTGTGAGGAACGGGCCGCGTTCGAGGAGCGCTCCTCTTTTTTTTTGTTTTGATTGTTGTTGAACCGCGCCCACCTAATTGTTGCTATTGTTGTGCGTGACTCTCATTGCTGGATGGGACTGTGGTGTAGCGGTGGTTTTTCTTTTGTTGCTTTTTGCTTTGCGTTGACGTGTTGTTAGTTTGTGCTGAGGGCTACACGTAACTGACAGGAGTGATGGCGATGATGATGACTGGCCGTGTGCTGCTGGTGTGTGCCCTCTGCGTGCTGTGGTGCGGTGCGGTTTTTGGACACGCGATGGACGATTACTGCAGTGAGGGTGGAGGGAACGGTTTGAGGCACACGAGTAATGGTGGAGATGACGGCGTGTCTCTAAAGGCGGACTGCGGGTTGTTAGCCACTCGAATGGGATTAATAAAGGCGGTTGAAGCTGCGGAAGCTGGACAAGATGAATTGAGTGGTGGTCCAGGTTTATCTCAAGATACGAAGGAAAAGTTGGACGATACGTCTGTGGGAACTAATACAGTGGGCAGTGCAGCGGCTGGTTTAGGAGGAAGTATTGTCGCAGGTCAGACAGCAGCACTACCGCCGACGCCTGGAGGCTCAGGTACAGGAGGACAGGTGGTGAAGCCAGAAGGGTTGGATGCAAATGGAGGAAAGGAAGCAGATCATAAGGAGGATCGCAACGACAGTACGGCAACTGGGCCCCAACACCAAGGCGTTGATCAATCATCTTCTTCCTCTTCTTCATCTGGCAGCCCTGGCACTCAGAACGGTGAAGAACACAACTTGGAGAATACTTCCAAGAGTGATGAATCCTCCGATGATTCACCGGAAGGTGACGAAAGGGATCCTCTTAGCCAATCCGACAGTCGTGAAGAGAAGGCGGAAGAACTGGTGAAAAAAAAAACGAATTAAATACAGAAAATACAGGTCATGAGGCACCAGCACTAACAACAGCACCAGCCGAATAGGCAGAAATACAAGCAGCAATACCAACAACACCACTGCATGGACATTCCGGCGCTGATGATTCAGGAGAGGTGCAACAGTTACAACAACCCCAAGACGGCATTGAGTCAAACAGCAATTCACAAACAAAGAGCGCTGCCTCCATTACAGCCAATCAACACAATGAACCATCTGGCGACCATGCAGAATCCAGGCCACCATCACCCACAGAAAACGGTGATGCTGCCAATAACGAATCTGAAAAGAGCACTGAAGAGGGCATCCCGAACAATGATCCAGCATCCGATGGCGCAGGGACACGAGAAAAACAAAATGAAAATAATGAAGCCAATCCGAAAGAAACACCAGTCGAAGCCACAGCCACGAAAACCACAACGGTGACGACTGGCGACAGTGACAGCAGCACCGCGGTTTCCCACACCACCTCCCCTCTTTTGCTTCTTCTTGTTGTTGCGTGTGCGGCTGCTGCGGTGGTGACCGCGTGAGAGTGAGGGAGAGAGAGCCGTGCACCGCCCGCACACACACTCGTCTTTCACTCACTTTCTGTGTGTGTTCCCTTGCATGGACTCTCGCCCTCACCTCATCCCACGAAGCACACACATAATGTGCCCATTGTATATATTGCATGCACACCCATGCAGGCCCGTTGGTGCTCTCTTTTGCACCGCACGCACCGCTGCCGTCCTGCCTGGCTGCATGGGCGGAGCACCGTAACTGTTTCTGTTTGTTTTTATTGCATTGAGTGGGCGACCTCTCTCTCTCTCTCTCCCTGTGTGTGTGTTTTGCTTTACAGGAGCAATGAGAGTGTGTGCGCTGGTCGTCCCACGCTTCGGCTTTTTGTTTTGTTTTTCATTGTTTTGTGGTTGAGAGCACCCATTCCGCGGGCTGCGTGTGTGCGTGATGATATGAGTAATTTGCGTGTGTGCTATCTGCCTCTCTGCCGTTGCTTTCTTCTGACTCTCTTGTGGCGCACAGCTGCTCTGCAAGTATCGGCGCTGCCAAACATACAAGCACATGCACACAAGGCATAACGCAGACGCTGTGAAGTGGTGTGAAGTCTTAGAACGCACGCACGCACGCTGCGGATGGTCACGGAGGGCACTGTGGGGGTTGGTGTTTTGGTGCTTGTGGCTGTATTTGGCAACGCTCATATCCACCGTGTTGGAACGGCCGGTGTGTTTGTGGGCCGCTGAAGAGAGCAACGGCGGAAATGGTGACTTCCACGCAGTGCGTTCACAGTAGTCTCCCGGTCAGTGTCAGTGCGGGGAGAAACAGTCATGACAATTGCAATGCCGTCACGCTTGTTTTTGAGCATCCTGAGAGAAACGGTAAAAATATATTTGCACACACGACGTTTTGCACCCCCGCTTCAGGGCTGTGCATCACGATGAGGCTGCCGTGCGGTGATGCCATATGATATGAGCAGCTGGGAGAGAAAGAGAGAGCGCTGTGCGATGCTCCTGCACCTGAAACTGACGCTGTGCAAGTGGTGGCAGGTTGGTGGACGGTCACACAATCACTGCAACACCACGAGGGAAGCAGACCAAACACTCCGCGTGCAGGGAGCGTTGCGGCCGATAAGGGATGTGTGCGACGGTGATGGACGCTCAGTCGACGACGGGTTGACGGTTTCTCCCATTGATGGAGTTGGTGCGCACGCGGTGTGTATGGCCGCCTCTGTGGTCTCCTGTTACTCCGCTGCGTGTGCCGCTTTCTGACGCACCACTGGCACTAAATCGTTTCATTTTTTTTCTTTCTCTTTTTCCTTTGTCTCCCGCCTCCCGCAGCCACGCTGCACTGCTACTGCTGCTGCTCACACGAAACCAAGAAATGCATTTACCTCAGGCCATGCGCCAGCCTCGCCATGCCACGCCGCCACTTCCATTGCTGGTGTTGCTGCTGATGTACTGCACCATTGGGTGTATTGCCGCTGCACCCGCTCTGCAGCACCGCCGTGGATATGACGAGATGATGGGAATGAGCGGCCCACTGCCGACTGTGACAGTAGCACCGCGGGCTTCCACAACAACTCTAATCTTTGGCATCTTCGTGTCAATTGTGCAGCCGCGGCTGCGATGGTGGCCGGGCCTGCATGAAATGGTGTGTGCTGGAGGGGAGAGAAGGCTAGTGGAAAAAAGATTGTTCTTCTGATGAATATTGGCTGCACTTCCCGTGGAAAACGAATTCACGCGGTGTGCAGAGATTATTCTTTTTATTGTTTTTACTTTGCTTTTGTGTTGCTTTGTGCGCTGCACCTTCTCATGTGTGTGTGCGTACCCTCCGTGAGGAGTGCCGACACGACGGACCGCTCTCGCCGTATGTGCATGCGGTGGAGCCTTGTGTGCCGCTCCTGTTTGCTTCTCCCTCTTCCATCTGTGTGTTGGTGTTGCGGCAGGGCTGTGTGTGTGTGTGCCTGCTGCCGTGGATTGGAGTGTGTGTCGTGCGTGGTTTGCGGCGTACGGTGCATGCCTGGCCGCTGCCCTCTCCTCATGTGGGGTGCCCTCTGTGTGTGTGTCTGCCGCACCTCTCGTCTACCCTGTTGCTCTCCATGTCCCTCACTGTGCAGATCAGCTCCACACCACCGAACGACCACACTCACGATGATGATGACGTGCCGTCTGCTGTGCGCCCTGTTGGTGCTTGCCCTGTGCTGCTGCCCGTACGTGTGCGCGGCAGGGAGTGAAGATACAACTGTTAAAGTTGGAGAAGATCCAACGCTCCAGGATTCAGGGAGTTCAAGCGATTCCCAAATTACAGGAGCAAAAGTTACGGAAGGTATTGGACAGAGTTTAGATAAGGAGTCCGATTCGTCAGAGGGACCAGCCTTGACCGCTTCTGCTCCAGCAGCTCCATCTCCGACAGGTACAGGAGAAGAAGGACCACGTGGAGCGCCCATTTCGCAAGATGGAAGAGATGCGTCTGGTCAGTCAGGGGCATCAGAAGAAAATATCATTTCACCAGGATCAAAAGGTGATTCCGATAAGTCAGGTGTAAATAATCCGGAGCATAATAAAGAAGTGGCGCTAACTGATAACGAAGTTAAGGAACAGGCACCAACCACGACAACCACAACGACCACAACTACAACAATGGCACCAACTACGACAGCCACCACTGCGCCGGAGGCACCAAGTGATACGGCCATGAATACAGAGGCGCCAACCACGACGACCACCCGCGCACCTTCACGTCTTCGCGAAATCGACGGCAGCCTCAGCAGCTCTGCGTGGGTGTGTGCCCCGCTGCTGCTCGCCGTATCCGCGCTGGCGTACACCACTCTGGGCTGAAGAGGTGTGTGCGGGCTGTGCGTGCCAGCACTCAGCCACGGGGGCATGTGCATCTCTACTGTGGTCCGATGTATAAAGTAAGAGTAATTATGATGATTGTGCTTTGCTTTGCTTGCTTCCACTGCCCTGATGTGTGCTTCATGTTGCTGCTTCCTGTATCCGCCACTTTGAACGCAACCCGGACACACTCATGTGCAAGTACACTGGAGTCTTGTGTTTTTTTTTTGTTTAATTTTTTAATTTTTTGCTTTTTTTTGCTTTTTAATCTTGACGTTTTCAGTGCGGTGTGCGAGTTCTGCAATCGTGCTGATTCCAACTGTCTCGTCCTGTGTGCTCTGCTGCTGTGCACTCTGTGGTGTAGCCGTCGTGACTCTCATTGCTGGATGGGACGGTGCGGGGTTGTGTGAATTGTTTCTCCTTTTTTACTCTCTGTGGACGTGTTGTTAGTTTGTGCTGGAGGCTACACGTAACTGACAGGAGTGATGGCGATGATGATGACTGGCCGTGTGCTGCTGGTGTGTGCCCTCTGCGTGCTGTGGTGCGGTGCGGTTTTTGGACACGCGATGGACGATTACTGCAGTGAGGGTGGAGGGAACGGTTTGAGGCACACGAGTAATGGTGGAGATGACGGCGTGTCTCTAAAGGCGAACTGCGGGCTGTTATCCACTCGAATGGCATTAATAAAGGCGGTTGAGGCGGAGGATGGACAAGAATTGAGTGGTCCAGACTCGCCTCAGGATAAGTCGAAGGTATCATCACCTGATAATAAATTGGGCAATAATACGCAGTCCACTGGAGCGCCTGGTGCAGGAGGAAGTATTGTCGGAGGTCAACCAGCAGAACTACCGCCGAAGCCCGGAGGATCAGGTACAGAAGAACAGGTTAGGAAATTAGAAGTGGTGGATACAAGTGGTGAAGAAGTAGCAGGAGATAAGAAGGATCACGAGGACGGTACGGCAACTGGGCCCCAACACCAAAGCGTTGATCAATTGTCTTCTTCTTCCTCTTCATCCGGCAGCTCTGGCACTGAGGGTGTCAAGCAACCCTCTTTGAAGGAAAATTCCGAGATTAGTGAAACCTCCAATAGCCGGCCGCAAGAAGAAGAAGTTCTTCCCAGTGAATCTGACAGTCCTGAAGAAGAGGCGGATGTAACAATACTATCAGAACAAGAGACGGAAGAACTGGTGAAAAAAAAAGAAGACAAAAAAAACGCAATTAATGAGGCACCAACAGAAACACATGGAAATCCCACCAATAACGCAGAAATACAAACAGCAATACCAACAACGCAAGTGAATGGAGATTCCAGCCCTGAGACTTTAGAGGACGTCCAACAGCCAGAAGAAGTCCAAGGCGAAAAGGACTCAAACAACAATTCACAAACAAAGAGCGCTGTCACCATCGCAGCCAATCAACACAATGAAACATCTGCCGACCATGGAGAATCAGGGCCACCTTCACCCACGGTAAACGGTGATGCCGCCGATAATGAAGCTGACAAGAGCACTGAAGACGGCACCCCGAACAGTGATCCAGCATCCGATGCTCCAGGGACAGCAGAGGGAAAACAAAATGAAAATAAAGATGCCAATCCGAAAGAAACACCAGTGACGGCCACAGCCATGAAAACCACAACGGTGACGACTGGCGACAGTGACGGCAGCACCGCGGTCTCCCACACCACCTCCCCTCTCTTGCTTCTTCTTCTTGTTGCGTGTGCGGCTGCTGTGGTGGCCGCGTGAGAGTGAGGGAGAGAGAGCCATGCACCGCCCGCACACACACTCGTCTTTCACTCACTCTCTGTGTGTGTCCCCTTGCATGGACTCTCGCCCTCACCTCATCCCACGAGGCACACACATAATGTGCCCATTGTATATATTGCATGCACACCCATGCAGGCCCGTTGGTGCTCTCTTTTGCACCACACGCACCGCTGCCGTCCTGCCTGGCTGCATGGGCGGAGCACCGTAACTGTTTCTGTTTTGTTTTTATTGCATTGAGTGGGCGACCCCTCTCTCTCTCCCTGTGTGTGTGTTTTGCTTTACTGGAGCAATGAGAGTGTGTGCGCTGGTTGTCCCACGATTCGGCTTTTTGTTTTGTTGTTTTACTTGTGTTGTGGTTGGTGCGCCCATTACCTTTTTTTATTATCGATTATTGGTTTGCTTAGAATGTGGACGCATGATTTTCTATTTATTTTTTTTCTTTTTCTTTGAGATATTGTCAGGGTTTCTTATTCTTTTCAAACCATGGAGTGCCTTCCTTAACGTACGGCATGTGTCAGTTGGTCCACGTCACCAGGGGGCAATGGAGTGCGGCGGGCAGCAGCAGCAGTATAAGGCGGTATGGCACGTGAAACCGCACGAAATGACGGACAAGCAGATTTGCCTGTTGCCGAGGCAGGACACAGACGCGGTCCGAAGATCAGTGCGGAGCACAACCGATTCCAGAGGATGAGGGTGCGGCGCCGCCACGCCGCGAAGATATCGCCAGCTTGGGCTGGATGAAGCCCCAAGTTTTTCCACACGGACTTCCAGAAGCATAGTGAAGCCACGGCGTAAGGCTTGATTTTGTTCCTCCCTTTTCGGATGAATTCTGTGAAATGCAGCATTTTTCCGGGAGAGGCAATGTGTGTGCTTTTTATGCTACTTCTGCAGCGGACTCGGCTTGTTCCATTTTGTTTGTCCAGATTGTTTTGGGCTGTCACGGCTGCCGCGCGGGATATGGCGCTCAGCTGCTCGTAAGATACCACTGCGAATATCCAACCATGCGGACGCGGCGGCAAGAAGTGTTTCACTCGACGAGGTGAAAGCAGGCCAATCCGCCTCACGCAGGGCAAAAGTGGCTTTCTCCCGCCGAGGCAGCGTGTTGGCTATTCGCGGAATGCCATCTTCCATCCCCACCGAGTAAGATATTAAGCAGTGGTCCGAATCCATGTAGAGAGTGGATCGCCAGTGGGTGACACGTAGCACGCGGTACGCAGTCACGTCAGGGGACGAGGCATTACGATGTGTGTTCCGTGTTGCCTGTGTCAGGTCATTTGCCAGCTCAAACTTCATATCAATTAAAACAGCAACGAAGTTCTCTTCTCCAGTCGTTGGTGGTGTCTGACTGTCACGGAGCTCATGATGTCAATTCGGGTCACCCGCGATAATCGCAGCGGGTCCTAAGCGACAAATGGTACTAATAAACGAAGAGCTCTGAACGGTTGCTGTGGGAGGTTTGTGGAGATTCACCACGCAGATGCTGGGGCTGGCCGGTGGAAATACACGGACAGCAATGGTCTCCAGGAGGTCAGTGCCAGGGAGCGGCAGGCGCTCGCACGGCAGAGAGTGGCGCACCCGAATGGCAACGCCACCACCGCACCCAGTGCGGGCCTGAAGAAGGCCATTGCAGCCGGATAATTCTGCCGCTGTGGCGCTTCGATTATTTGTTGCCTGGAGAAGAACAATTTCAGTTTAATGCAGCTCCCATCGCGCAGCAAATGCATTCTTTTTTACAAACGAGAGGCCTGCAATGTCACGCTGCCAAATAGTGATGTAGCCATCCACCTCGGTGCCAGGGTTCTTGTGGACGTCACCGCCACGGGTGATATCAACGGAATGACCGCAGCGAAACGGTCGTGCAGTTTTGTCCGACAGTCTGCAGGCAGACCGCTTCAACTCCCCGCACTGGGCATGGCGCGGAACCTTCTCGAGGGGTGGAGTTGTCTTGGTCTCCGTCGTGCTCGCAGCAACGCCCTGCTACACAGTTGATATACGCAACCAAAGCCCCAGCAACGCGACAAGGTGCGACTTCATCGCTGGGGCTCACCGAATTTTGTCAAGGGCCTCATTCCAAGTTTTTTTGCTTGTTTCCTTTCTTCTTTTGCTGTTTGTGTTTTATTGGAATAATACGTACCTTTCTGCTTTCCCATCGGCTGTTTAACTGCTCTACACGGCATTATGTGCGACGTGTTTTCTGTGTTTTTTTCTCTTTTTTTCCAGTCGCTGTGCCGGCCTCATTGCCGTGTGTCCCACGGACCGCGCGTACGAGGACTGAAGGAACAGGCCGGATGCCGCAACGTAATGTGAGGGATGTTGTGTGGGCTCGTGGAACAGTACGATCTCTTCTTCATTGTTTTGCTTCTACCATTTTTTGCAAGGAATATGTATACACAAACACACGGTCGTCTATATTGCGCCGCATGGCACATGAAATAAAAGTCCTTCCAAATGAATTATCTTCATTCTTTCCGGGAGCACTGCCGGACTCTAAGCCCAGTTTTTATTTATTTATTTTTATTTCTGGTTTGCAAGGTGGTGTGTGTTTTTGCCTTCCCACTGATTCCAACTGTATCATGTTTTGTGTGCAAGCTGTCATCATTTCTTATTGTGCGGTCACTGTCCTGTGTGGTGTAGCGGCCTTGTATTTCTCCATTCCCTTTTGCTCTGCGTTGACGTGTTGTTAGTTTGTGCTGAAGGCTACACGCAAGTGACAGGAGTGATGGCGATGATGATGACTGGCCGTGTGCTGCTGGTGTGTGCCCTCTGCGTGCTGTGCTGCTGGTGTGTGCCCTCTGCGTGCTGTGGTGCGGTGCCGGCGGTGGTGGATGTTGTTGTTTCTGGTGGTGGGGACAACAAAAAATTGGAGGAACAGAAATTGTCATCCCCAGTCATATCGGGCGTGAAACCACAAGCGCCAGAAGTTGAAGAATCACCGACCCGACGTTCAGACGATGTTTTGGAGGAAACGTATGAAGTCGTTGTTGAGCGAGATGAAGCGGATGGCCGTGGAGTTGGAGCTGATGGTGAAAAAGGGAAAACCGTTCAAAAAGGAAGAGGTGAAAGGGAGTCTGAAGGCGATTCAGCGACAGAGGCGGAATTGCACTTAACCGAGGATGAGATCTTACGGCAGCCGTCACCGAATGGAGCAAAAGAAGGTGAAAAAACGATACCCTCCAACGACACTCCGCCAGAAGAAAAATTTCAACAAAAACAAGAAGATCCACCGAGTTTGTTGCAGAGTGAACCCGGTGATCCCGCGAGTGGAAGGGGAGTTCCGCCGGAATCAACGGAACATAAACCACCCGCATCAGGAAACCCAAGTTCAGAGACAGAAACAACAGGAATTGAGAAGGTATCAACACCCACGCATGTGCGAGAATCCCCGAGAGTAAAGGAAAAGGAAGTTTTTGCCACTAAACACGAAAGAGAAGATAAAGAAGGGTCTGGAGGCAATCCAATTAAAGTGACAGACGTGCGGTTGTCTGAGCCGCAGGAATTGCGGTCACAGTCACTGGATGGAGCCCAACGAGTTGAAACGGGGGTACGCCCAATTAACAGTTTGCCAGAGGATCAAAATAAACAACGAGTTTTATTGGATTTGTCGCAGGGTGAATCAGCCAACGATCCACCGGAAACAACTCCAAAATCCTCTTCTACAGGTGGACATCGTGTTGAGAACAGTCGTGCGAATGACGATGGCGCGAAGAATACTGAGGGGTCAGCTGCTGGAGAAAAGAAGGACGACAAGAAAGGCCTCGAAAAAGATGTTGTTCCGACAATCAGTGAGGGAAAACTACAGCCGCCACTCACGACAGCCGCCAGCACGAGTGCTACGGCAATAGATGGTGACAGTAAAGGCAGCCCCACAGCAGCTACGGCCCTGCAGTCTGACGATGGCTCAGAAAGCAATCCGGCCAAAAATGGCTTGAGACAACCTTCCAGTGAAAGAATCGCACAGCTCAGTACGACTCCCGATCCTGAAGACGCATCAGAAGTCACAGAGAACGCGGCCGCTGAACATGCAGGAATCCCAACAACAAAAGCAATCGCCACAGCCAAAACAAATGACACGGTGACAACTGGTGACACCGCCGCCAATCAGCCGCTCCAAGGATTTGTGTTGGTCGCCAACAGAATGCGCGGTAGACCGTCGGTTTCCTTCCAATGGATTTGATTGTTGCCGGTTTCGCCACCGACGTGACCCTTCACCAGCAATAATCCCGATTTGAACTTCTCGCTCGTAGCCTTACAGGTAGCAGCGTCTTCACGGCAGTATTTTCCAACAAGCATGTAAATATCACTTCCATTCACAACTGCTGTTGGTCGGCTCACGTCTACTCTCTTCTTTGGGTCTTCGGAACCGTCTTCCTCCAAAACTTGTGTCACCTTGGCATCCTTCAGCACCTCCTCCTTTTGGTTATCCGCTGTTTTCTTGAGAAGTTGGGATGCAATGCCAGTAAAACTGTCGTTTTCACCGTTCTTTTTGCACTGCGCCTCGAAAACGGCAAATACGCCACTCCCCACTTTTAGAAGGCCGGGAACACCCAACGACTCCACAGTTACACCACCAGTGATGACTTTCCATTCAAAACTTGGATCTGTCTCTGACTCACCGTTCTCATCAGCGGCTGCAGCTCCACCAGTACCGCAGCACATCATCACGACGAGGAGAAGCGGCACCGCGGAAGTAAACACACGCCGGGACATGTTGGGCCTCTGCTGCTCACTCTCTCTTCCTTCCCTCCTCCTTCCGCTGGATCCGGTCACGCGGCGACGGTTGTGTGTGCGGGGTGCCTTCACTGCAGCAGCAACACGTGAGAGCATATAAATATGTGTGTGTGTGCGGTGTGTGTGCTGTTGGTCCTTTCAGAGCCTTACAATTTCACAGTAGCGATTAGCGTTCGTTTTCCTTCTTTGTGTGTGAGAAAGAGAGAGAAGAGGAAAAAGGAGTGAACACCGCCGCCCCTCCACAATGAGTGGCATCATCATCCCCGCCGCAGTCACTCCCAACAACAACAACTGAAATGCACAGACACACGGAATGAGAAGGAAGAACAGTGCACAGGGAAGACACATCGACTGCCACCAGCAGTAAAAGCCACGGCGGGTATGTTGTTGTTCTTCACGCGTCAGCGCACAGAGAGCAACGCCCACACACGCTGCCGCCAGTCGTTTTACTGTTGTCTCTCCCCGCAACATCCATCGCACATCGCCCCGCATAGCCGGAGAATCCTCCGTCGCTGTATGAACAACGGGAGGAACACGTCGGCACGTGCAGCTGCTGGGCAAGAATCCATGCGCACTTATCCCAGGCACCCACAATGCCACACCACGTTAGTCAACTGCTGCACGTCGCCAACACCACAACCGCAGCAAGTCCAAGGGACGCACGACGAGCTCACACCCTCCCTCTCCGCAAGAGCCGCCACAGCCAAATTGTGTGAAAAATGGCATGTCCATGTGTGTGTGTATGTATGTTTGTCAGCGCCTATACTTGCAGAGCAGCCGTGCGGCACAAAAGAGAGTCCAAAGAAAGTAGCTGCAGAGAGAGGCAGATAGAACACATGCAAATCACTCATATCATCACACACGCAGCCCGCCGAACGAGTGTACTCAACAAACACAGCACAAGCAGCGCAATAAAACAAAAAGCCGAAGCGTGGGACGACCAGCACACACACTCTCATTGCTCCCGTAAAGCAAATAACACACACACAGGGAGAGAGAGAGAGAGGTCACCCACTCAATGCAATAAAAACAAAACAGAAACAGTTACGGTGCTCCGCCCATGCAGCCAGGCAGGACGGCAGCGGTGCGTGTGGTGCAAAAGAGAGCACCAACGGGCCTGCATGGGTGTGCATGCAATATATACAATGGGCACATTATGTGTGTGCCTCGTGGGATGAGGTGAGGGCGAGAGTCCATGCAAGGGGACACACACAGAGAGTGAGTGAAAGACGAGTGTGTGTGCGGGCGGTGCACGGCTCTCTCTCACTCACTCTCACGCGGCCACCACCGCAGCAGCAGCCGCACAAGAACAACAAGAAGAAGCAAAAGAGGGGAGGTGGTGTGGGAGACTGCGGTGCTGCTGTCACTGTTTTGTGTATTCGCCGTATCAGTTGTGGTTTTCGTGGCTTTGGCTTCGACTGGTGTTTCTTTCGGATTGGCATCTTTATTTTCATTTTGTTTTTCTCGTGTCCCTGCGCCATCAGCTGCTGGATCATTGTTGGGGATGCCGTCTTCAGTGCTCTTTTCAGATTCGTTATTGTCAGCATCACCGTTTGCCGTAGGTGATGGTGGCCTGGATTCTGCATGGTCGCCAGATGGTTCATTCTGTTGATTGGCTGTAATGGAGGCAGCGCTCTTTGTTTGTGAATTGCTGTTTGACTCAATGCCGTCTTGGGGTTGTTGTAACTGTTGCACCTCTCCTGAATCCTCAGCGCCGGAATGTCCATGCAGTGGTGTTGTTGGTATTGCTGCTTGTATTTCTGTCTCTTCGGCTGGTGCTGTTGTTAGTGCTGGTGCCTCATGACTTGTATTTTCTGTGTTTAATTCGTTTTTTTTTTCACCAGTTCTTCCGCCTTCTCTTCACGACTGTCGGATTGGCTAAGAGGATCACTTTCGTCATCTTCCGGTGAATCATCGGAGGATTCATCACTCTTGGAAGTATTCTCCAAGTTGTGTTCTTCACCGTTCTGAGTGCCAGGGCTGCCAGATGAAGAAGAGGAAGAAGATGATTGATCAACGCCTTGGTGTTGGGGCCCAGTTGCCGTACTGTCGTTGCGATCCTCCTTATTATCTGCTTCCTTTCCTCCATTTGCATCCAACCCTTCTGGCTTCACCACCTGTCCTCCTGTACCTGATCCTCCGGGCGTCGGCGGTAGTGCTGCTGTCTGACCTGCGACACCACCTCCTCCTGCACCAGCCGCTGCACTGCCCACTGTATTAGTTCCCACAGACGTATCGTCCAACTTTTCCTTCGTATCCTGAGATGGGTCTGGACCACCACTCAATTCATCTTGTCCAGCTTCCGCAGCTTCAACCGCCTTTATTAATCCCATTCGAGTGGCTAACAACCCGCAGTCCGCCCTTAGAGACACGCCGTCATCTCCACCATTACTCGTGTGCCTCAAACCGTTCCCTCCACCCTCACTGCAGTAATCGTCCATCGCGTGTCCAAAAGCCGCACCGCATCACAGCACGCAGAGGGCACACACCAGCAGCACACGGCCAGTCATCATCGCCATCACTCCTGTCACTTGCGTGCAGCCTTCAGCAAAAACTAACAACAAGTCAACGCAGGGTAAAAGGGGAAAAATGTTAAAAAACCAAGCAGCGTCCCATCCAGCAATGAGAGACACGCACAACAATAGCAACAAATAGGTGGACGCGGTTCAACAACAATCAAAACAAAACAAGGGAGGAGCGCTCCTCGCCGTGCACCGTTCCTCACACCCTACAGTCACTATTACTGTTATTCTCTCTCCTCAGGCCCTCACAGGCACGCCACGCTCACTTCAACACGCGCCCCTCCAGCACAGGCCTCAGGAACGTCGGGCCCTCCCAGCACACACAGCCGTCATGCGCTCCCGCTGCGCCGCAACGTACGCCACCTCCTCCCTCAGTCCAGCAGCTCCGTGTCCACCACGTCCCTCACAATCGCCGGCATGCCACCGCCACGCACAACACACACAGCGCCACAATGTTGTGCCGCCACTTCTCCCCAATCATGAGCGCGGCGCCCAACGCGTACTGGCGCACGTGCCGCATGCGCTGCAACCACACGCGGATCAGCCTCACCGTCATGCACTGCATCTCGTTGTCCTTGTGGTTGGAGCACACCCTCCCATCCTCTCAATCCACGGCCTCGGTGCTGCAAGAGGCTGCCGTGAGGAGACATGTGTGTGAAAGACCCCAAAGTGCGGGGCGCAGTTGGCAGCCACCCACGCTCAGTTCCTCGCACCTCCCCGCACAGAAGGACGGTGTCATGGGAGAGAAAGAGAAGTCCGCCGCACAACACATGCACAAATGCACACGCAGCAGCAACGCCATCCACGTCGCACTGCAAAAGAGATCCATGCGCACCGCACACACACAACCACAGGGAAAAAGGTACGGAGCGCATCCAAGAACAGAGCGGTGTCCTTCACTTCCCTCTGCCCTGACAAATTGGCATCACGCCTCACAGCAGGTTGTGGCGGATTAGTGCTCCACACCCACAGTGAGGCACGGCGCACACCATCCGCTCCCCTCCGAGTGCACTCAGCAGGCCGGGGCAGGGCGCCCAGTCACCCTCGTGCCATCGCAATGGGGAACACAAACAATCGTCGTCGCGGACCATCGGTGCCTCTAGCAGGAAAGAAGAAAGAGAAATGGAGGCATGTCAAAAGCACAGCCAGCAGAGGGACACTCAACGGGACACGGCAACACAAAGCGACGGTGAGCACAGCACAAACGGAAACAAGCCGCAGCGAGTCACCAAAAGAAAAAAGAAAAAAGGGGTAAGTCCAGCAGAACTCACAAAATTAAATAATTGTTCAGGCAGGACTTTTATTTCTTGTGCCTAGAAGCACATGACAGCCGTGTGCATACATTTTGCCCGCACAAAAAATGGAAATTTAAAAACAGATCTTGCTGTTCCACGAGCCCACACAACACCCTTCACACGTCATGCGGCATCCGGCCTGTTCCTCCAATCCTCCTTTGTGCACTCCGTGGGAGACACAGCAGTGAGACCGGCACCGCGTGTGGGCAGCAAAAAAGTCAAAAGGGGAATACGTCACTCGTGACGGTGTGCAGCTTCAACCATTAAAAAAAAACAATATTATTAAAACAAAGTACCAAAATAAAAAAACACTGCAAAAACAATCACACGCAAAAATAAAACATGCAGGCGTCACCACACAGAAAAGTGAAGGGTAATGGGAATATGCCCACCCAACCACAACAGAAGCAGAGATTCAAAAAAACGTAAAAAAGCCGAAGCGTGGGACGACCAGCGCACACACTCTCATTGCTCCCGTAAAGCAAATAACACACACACAGGGAGAGAGAGAGAGAGAGGTCACCCACTCAATGCAATGGAAACAAAACAGAAACAGTTACGGTGCTCCGCCCATGCAGCCAGGCAGGACGGCAGCGGTGCGTGTCGTGCAAAAGAGAGCACCAACGGGCCTGCATGGGTGTGCATGCAATATATACAATGGGCACATTATGTGTGTGCTTCGTGGGGTGAGGTGAGGGCGAGAGTCCATGCAAGGGGACACACACACAGAGAGTGAGAGAAGGACGAGTGTGTGTGTGGGCGGTGCACGGCTCTCTCTCCCTCACTCTCACGCGGCCACCACCGCAGCCGCAGCCGCACACGCAACAAGAAGAAGAGGCAAAAGAGGGGAGGTGGTGTGGGAGACCGCGGTGCTGCCGTCGCTGTCGCCAGTCGTCGCCGTTGTATTTTTCATGGCTGTGGCTTAGACTGGTGTTTCTTTCGGATTGGATTCTTTATTTTCATTTTGTTTCTTTTCTCGTGTCCCTGCGCCATCGGCTGCTGAATCATCTTCTCCAGTTGTTTGGGTGCTTTTGGATTTCGTATTATTCGATGCTCCCTCCGCGCCAGAAGATAAACTCGGCTGCTCTTGACCGTCTGCTGACATCCCCTCTGTGGTGCGGGTATAATCTTCCTCCTTCTCCTTATCTTTCTCATCGTTGTGATCTTCACCCCCATCTTCTTCCTCTTCATCTTCTTCATTTTCATCTTCATTTTCTTCATCATCTTTATCGCCTTTCTCGACTTCTTTCTTCGTATCCTTATCTTCTTTATCTTGCAT